AAATATTATGCCAAATAGAAGCAGAAAATCATGCTATACTTCGCACTTTCATGAGATTGGGTTAGCCTACAACAATTAATTTTTTGGCTATTTTACAAATGGGAATACAACAAATTCATGACAATGTTTACATTCAAGCTACCTGTAAAATTTATAGTGAAAAGTACTTTAAAAGCGTCTGGAATAAAATAAAGTATATAAAAAATATAAATAATTAACATACCATACAAAATTGCTTTGCAGCAAATCCTTTACATTTTAAGGTATTCAGAACAGAGCAACATAAAAATCAGAAAAAGCAGCTATCGGACAAAGTTTTACATATATGCCTTTATAATTAGTGTTTTATTTTTTTATAAAATAAAACGCAAATTATAGTCGGGCCTTCCATCAATTATAGTGATGAAAAAATTACTGGTCATCTCCTAATTGGATGTGCCTTTAGAGAGAAATGCAGGGATTACATAATGAAAGAGTTTATTTTATTAGGAGTCTATTTTCGATTTAAATTATTTCGTTTTAAAGTAGTAATTTAAAGCTTTCTATATATTTTGATCATGTCTGAGTTTAGGTTCATCATTGTGAAGCGCTCCTGTTCAAAACCGAGACGGCAGAAAGCGTTTGTTTTCTTTATTTTATAAAAGCACAACGTTTTGTTGATATTGTGAGTGCACACAAATAAAACTAGCCCCTTTACAGTTTAGAATGATGTATTACTCTTACCTTTATGAGCAAAAATTACTGTGTATTTTAAGTTTTTTCCACTTAGAAAAAAATGCAAGTGATCACGCAGGCGCCTCCATGTCCTGCAGAGCGCGCTTCAGCTTCCACTCCTCCGCAAACGATTGGATATGCATATTTATATAGGTTAAACATTTAAACTAACATTGTGATATACTTGAACTGTTTTATATATAGATTTTATTTTAGGCAAGTCCTGATGATTTGAGAAGGCTAAATTCAAACATAGGCTATAGGCTATGATCAATTCACTGTCTGCCACTGGCCTTTACTTAAAAAAAAACTTACTTTTAACGAACAAAAAATACGCCAAATGTTTTTCTAAATTTACTTTATAAAAAAACGAAACTAAATATAATCACTTTTCCATTACATACAAAACTGAACAATTTTAATAGCTGAAACAGTAGTATAAGCTTTTTTTGGGAAAAGGGGAAAAAGACCCGTGCAGGGCTTTAATCCACTTCATCCAACGCGGCTTTGTTCTCATCTGTGAGCATGCTCGTGATATATGTATTTTAGGTGTGTAAATGTATAATTTCCTTTTCATTATTGTTTCAGTTTTATTTAAATTTGTAGTTAAAACCACTAAAAATAAATGTATTTTAAAGTTTAGAATTAGACAGCCTTTGCACACAGGCTTACGCTGAAAACAACTAAATGGAACCTCAAGGTTGATCTAGGAAAATGTGTGCAAATGTATAGCACCCCATTCCTATATTTGGCCTGGGGCCCCCAATTCACTAAATCCGCCCCTGGTAGGAGACCTCAACATACATACAACAAAGGAAAGGATGAATACCAGGACTGTGTATCACTTAGAACTGAATTGAGAATGCCTTTTAAATTCAAATTGAATTCATGAATTTAAACTGAGGTAGCAAACATACAGAATTGCGATTGGAATTCAATAGAAATTTAACTAATTCACATGAATTTAAATTCTAACTATACACAGCAATTATTGTTAAGCTAAACTGTGAATATTTACTTGATATAAATAGACAGATTAATAGATAGATTCACACTCATTAATTGAAAGAGAGCCAATTCTTAAATTTGCCTAAACCTTACGGATAAAAAAGACAAGTACAGATGAAAAGCAAAAAAAAAAAAAAACTCAAAACCAAACCAAAACATCTTAAGCCAGAGATTGATATATGTGCAATTCTTATTCTTTATCTACAATTCGACTGCATCGTATCAAGTCTGATTCACTGTTCTGTGAAAACGATCCCAGTCAGCTGTCCATCAAAAAAGTGTGTACGATCCAAAGACTAAATGGATTTCTGAGTCCAACTTGTGATGATAGATTTATCCCGCCATTTTTGAGTTAAGACTATAGCAGCTTCCTTGAGTTTTATCTTCCATAAAAAATGGCCTCAATTCCACCCTGTCTGGACAATCGCACAGCGATTACTCAGCTAGTGTACCTCTCGGGCACTTGAAGAAAATTCCCAGGGATGCCCAGGCAAACCTTTAAAGCTGTCTGTAGAATTTGCCTTTCTCATTGCATGTTTGGTAAATTAACTGCACTGTTCCCCAAGGGCACTGACTTACGCACACTTTGTCTTTCTCAGTAGTGGCTGAAGAAATTAGTGCTGATTGTATCTTAGAGCAAACATTCACGCCGTCATATCCAGACACATTTCTGTGCCCTCAAGAGATCCAAATGCAGTTTCTCAGTTTACTACATCTTTCATTCTGCGGAGAGGTTTAATTCCATTGTGTTGTGCCCTCCAGGACCACCATAAAGGCTAGCTTAAATGTCAAAATCACTCTCAACATATGCCAGAAACACATTTACCTTTCTTTTGGTCTATTGATTTTTTTGTGGTTCACTTTGTATAGCAGCAATCTTAGATACTGTTCTAGCAGCAAAGCATTTAAAAGACCAGCTGTACAACAGAAACTCACCTGTAACCGAGAGAATGTCATCTCATTCTCACTCTTTAACGCTGTGAAATGCTGTATTTAGAAGAAAATAAAATACTTGGAAAAAGGCTACTGGCCAGCAGTTCATTTCAAATCAATTCAGAAAGAAAGCGAAAAGTCATGCTTTAGGGAAATTTAAGCACATTCATGGGTTTTCTTCTTCTAAAATGACTTGCTTAGACTTTGCTTCACCAAATTACCTTCAGTGATTTGACAAATTTAGCCTCCAGAATCCATTTATTAGTCCGTTGTCAGGAAATTGGGCTAGGATGGTTCAATTTCCTAAATGATGTGGAAATTTAGTCCTCATGTTCCACACTGACATTTTGGCTCTCTACAATTCATTCATTGTTACCAATGGGCATTTTGTGTCACTGTCAATAAACATTATAAACCATAGCGCATAATTCCTAATTAGCTGTAATTTTCCAGCGAAAAATAATTGAGTTTGTTCAAACTACTGCTTCTTCAGAGAACATTAGTGGAACAAATGTGGAAAAAGCTCTTATTATCAGACATGCCACAGATGGTGAGTGTTTATCTTACTAACCTTTAGGGGCTCGCAGCTCATTTTGGAACAGAGCAAAGCAAAATGTAGGCTATTTGGGAAAGGTTTTCTGAATACACATTTCAAGGACTTTTTGTCTGGCATTATGTTGCCTGTGGTAATGTATCTGTATGTTATTGTAGTCAATAACATACAAATTCACAAATAAGAGTGATGACAATAACTCAGCACAAGCTCAGTAGGGCTCTCTCTCTTTCTCTCTGACTGAGAAAAAGCAGCGTGATCATCTCATTTTATGAGAAATTTTCCAAAAAACAAAACAAAACAAAACAAAAGCAAAACAAAACAAAAAAACTGATATTAAGAAATAAAAATTTCATCAGAATTTCATCAAAGCATCTAATTAAAAATAATTATAATGTAGGTTCCACTTTTGCTTTAAACACAAATTAGTCCCGACAGCTAAAATAATCTGTACCATTTAAAGGTGAAAACTATTCAGTATTATTACTTCATGTATTAAATAAAAGATTGGACTTTTATTTGATCTTGTGGGCTCCCATTTTAGATATTGTTAAATAGTATGAATTTAAAAATATAAAAAAATTCACTATTACATTTTTAAAGTGTAACAACTGTACCCAACTAACTACTGTAAAGTGAATGAAACACTCTTTATTAAAAAGATTTTGTGAAAGAAAGTTTGTGAAACAGACTGAAATATAAAAGAAGATATTTTGAGAAATGTCCATACAACACAAATCAATTAATTTAGTTAAAAAGATTCCTCAAAATACGTTCTTTTGTGTTCTGCAAAAGAAAGAAAAGTCATTCGGGTTTGGAACAACATGAGGTGAATAAATGATGACAGAATTTTTACTTTTGGGTGAACTAAATGTGTTTGTTTCAATATACTATATACATTTCTATATAAATAACATACCGTGTTCTACTGAAAGATTGACAAGCTGTTCATAAATAATATTTATGATATGTCTCTTAAGCAGTGTCAATAATCTCCTAGGTTTACAAAGACAAGCAGATAATAAAGCTGATCAATCAAAACAAACCACACAAACATATTGATTGTTTTCAATTGTTCATGATGTATTTCATTTACCCAATCCTTTTGCCAATAATATTTAAAGCCAGCACAGTGGAAGTCAACCTCATAATGTTTAAATGCAAAAACAGTTTGCTTCCTTGCTCTGTATATGAACGCAGAGAGTTTGCATGCTCTTCATGAGGAATTGACTGTGACTCAAAGACATTTCAGATTCAAAACCAAAAATTATTCATCTAAGACTTTCATGTGGATTTTATGAGGCTGCTAAAAATATTCAAAAGTAACTAGAAAATACTGCATATGCGGTTTTTAGTACCAACCTGTCGACTGCTCAGTGTTTTGCAAGTTCTCCACAGGTGCTAAAGTGGGTTGTAACTCTGGGTTGGGGTTGATGGTTCTCCACGACACAACTGAGATGGGAGGAACAGAGGATGTGTCGGTCTTCACAGGGACACAGCTGACATTGTTGATGCCATCCTTACAGGAAAACCCATCAGGACATGATTGGATCAAGCAATCATCATAATTATATTCACAGTTTTTTCCCTGAAACACAAAATAAAGACTTTTTCTCACAACAAAAATCTTTTTCTCTAAGTGTTTTTGAAATGCCTGCTGGGATATGGTTTGATGCTACATTCAACCATATTGTCAGTAGAATAATAAGGACGTCAGGGTTTCTGAAATAATTGCACTAGTATGTGGCATTATGGTGAGGAAGTACAAAGTTTGATGCAATATGCTGAAATAAGTGCAGTGTACACAACTAAAGGCTGAGGACATTAGAATTCAAGCATGGTGCAAAACTAACATTGGGTCGAATATGAGTGTAAATTACAGTAAGCCCAGCAGGAGCAACTATGCTTTCAGCTGTACCGGCACCTATATACTGTATGTGTGAGTGGCAATTGCTTTAAGACTTCATGAGCGATGATATGTTTTTCATATGTGAAATTATCTGTAGTATGTATAACACCTAGTGCATTTTTTGATTTTAGGTGTTGATGTGAACATATTCATAAAATTGAGTGGATGTATAGCCTCATTTATGTTGTGAAGCGAACATTAAAACTGCTCTCTCTCTCTCATTTTTCTTCTCATTTCCTACTCCTAAGTCTTTGATTTACTAAAAGATACAGCAATTGTCTTGGACTTTTGACAACTTGAGGTGTGGATGCAGCATTATGCATCATAGAAAACTTTCGGTTACAGATGCCACTGTAAAAACCCAATATTCACTGTTATTCCTGGCCAATTTTTCATTAGTAAATAATAAAAGTTAATGAAGTTAATAAAATAAATAATAAATAAATAATACACACACACACACACACACACACACACATATATATATTATATACAGTGGGTACGGAAAGTATTCAGACCCCCTTAAATTTTTCACTCTTTGTTATATTGTAGCCATTTGCTAAAATCATTTAAGTTAATTTTTTTTCCTCATTAATGTACACACATTAATCATTAATGTACACACAGCACCCCATATTGACACAGAATTGTTGACATTTTTGCAGATTTATTATAAAAGAAAACTGAAATATCACATGGTCCTAAGTATTCAGACCCTTTGCTCAGTATTTAGTAGAAGCACCATTTTGATCTAATACAGCCATGAGTCTTTTTGGGAAAGATGCAACAAGTTTTTCACACCTGGATTTGGGATATATACACTACCAGTCAAAAGTTTGGGATCAGAACGATTTTTAATGTTTTTTACAGGAGTTTCTTATGCTCATCAAGGCTGCATTTATTTGATAAAAAATACAGGAAAATGTAATATTGTGAAATAATATTATGATGTAAAATAACATTTTTCTATTTTAATATACATTAAAATCTAATTTATTCCTGTGATACAAAGCTGAATTTTTATCATCATTACTCCAGTCTTCAGTGTCACATGATCCTTCAGAAATCATTTTAATATGCTTTTATATTTTATTATCAGTGCTGGAAACTGTTGTGCTGCTTAATATTTTTTTGGAACCCTTGATACTTTTTTCAGTATTATTTGATGAATAAAAAGATAAAAAGAAGAGCATTTATTTAAAATAGAAATCTTTTCTAACAATATACACTTCAGTTCAAAAGTTTGGGGTCAGTCAATTTTTATTCTTTATTTTTTTGAAAGAAATTAAAACTTTTATTCATCAAGGATGTGTTAAATTGTTAAGAAGTGATAGCAAATATTTAATTGTTAGAAAAGATTTATATTTTGAAGAAATGCTGTTCTTTTTAACTTTTTATTCATAGGATTCAAGAATCCTGAAAAAAGTATCACAGTTTCCAAAAAAATATTTGGCAGCACAACTTTTGCCAACATTGATAATTCTAATAATAAATCAGCATATCAGAATGATTTCTTAAGGATCATGTGACACTATATACTGGAGTAATGGCTCATGTAAATTCAGCTTTGCATCACAGAAATAAATTATATTTTAAAGGATATTAAAATAGAAACCATTATTTTATGTTGTAATAAGATTTTGCAAGATTACTGTTTTTTCTGTATTTTTGATCAAATAAATGCAGCCTTGATGAGCATAAGAGACTTCTTTAAAAAACATTACAAGTCTTACTGATCCCAAACTTTTGACCGGTAGTGTATAGACATATATGAATTGTGCTATTCTATATGTACTTTCATTTTTTTAAATGGATTAATTTCTTTAAATGCAAAACTTTTTAATAAGGGGAAATTAATATCTGTACCTGTACTTCCATATTAAGATTAGAGTAGTTAGATTTGCATGTATATAACATCTTATTGCTCATCTTTTTGTTTAGAGGTACTTCAACAGGCCGCTTCAACATGCAATGCTGCAGAAACTAAAATACAAAAATAGGTAAATAGCGTGCACATTCTACCATTGATAAGTGACATCTGTGCTTCCCCGCACTTGAAAAGCACCACTGGCATGTTGAATACTAAAAAACCCTCCTGCCTACCATCCCGAAGACGTCAAGGATATTTAAAGGCCATTGCAATATTGGAATGGAAACAAACGGATGGCGAATGCTTGACAGGAGAAAGACAAACAGGATTGCGTCTCTCTCAAAATCACCTCAGGGGAAGATGAAGAGCTCAGGGAGGAGAAGGAAGGGGGGAGAGGGGGACTCAGTGCGACTTACCACAAATCCGGGCCGACAGAAGCAGGTGTAGCCATGGCTAGGCTCATTCTGGATGCACATTCCCTGGTTGCATGGTTGCAGCAAGCACTCATTAATGTCATATTCACAGTGAAGGCCTGTCCAACCTGCCAGGAACAAAAACCCAGAGTGCCACAGTCAGCCGACCCCGTAACCAACAACATCCCACCTCTCCCTGCCCTCCCCCGTCTCATACGTTTTCTACACCATCTCCATTCCTGCTTTGTCTTCCCATTCGGGAAAGCATCCACACTCGCACACATACGGGCTGAATATATTTTAATACTCTATGAGGCTTGTGTCTGTTTCAGTAGCCTGCAAGAGTAAATCATTCCCCGGAGGAACCTAAGTGATTTTTGCATTGTGGAATCAAGATGCATGAAGCCGAGACTTTTCATAAACCTTTATCTCTCTTGTGTTCTTCAGACATAAGACTGTCAAGAAGGTAAAAAAAAAAAAAACATTGACAGAAAATATTCATACTGCATTTCCTAAACAGGGTTCCCACACTGAACCTCCAAGACACTTTCACGACTGTCCCAATCATTCATGATAACTGGATAGGGATCAGTTTTTTTTATTAATCTGTCTGCAATAACAAAGAAGACCAGGTGAAAATGTGCAATAAAGCAATTTTAATTAAACCATACTGTTAATAAAACTATGAGGAGAAATTTGCACCGATTAGGAATATACACATCATTAAAAAAACTGGGTCCAAAAAAATTAACTTTTTTAAATTTAAAAACATTTTGTAATTTATTCTTGTGATGGCAAAGCTGAATTTCCAACATCATTACTCCAGTCTTCAGTGTCACATGATCCTTCAGAAATCAATCTAATATGCTGATTTGCTGCTCAAGAAACATGTATTCTGATCATAAATGCTGAGAATGGTTGTGCTGCTTAATATTTTTGGGGAAACTGTGATACATATTTTCAGGATTCTTTAATGAACAGAAATGATTTAAGGATCAATTTAAGGTGCTAAATAAATACGTTTTAATTTCTTAAAGGGGTCCTATTATGCTTTTTCACTTTTTAAATTTTAGTCAGTGTGTAGTGTGTATGTTTGGGCATAAAAAAGATCTAGAAAGTTACAAATCTCAAAGTCCACTCCAAAGGGAGATATTTAGTTTTTAAAAAAATCAATTTTCAAGAACTACAGCAAACGGCTCGTTTGGACCACAGCGTTTGGTTTCCGGGCTTTATGATATCACAAAGCGGCCCATTAGAATATCATTACAAAGGTCGTGGTCAGAACGCTTGGTTGAGAGAGCGCATGAGACGAGACGAAGAAGAAGAAGAGCTGCTGTGCTGTAGCCTCAAATTTTTGGCATGTCTAGAACAGCCGATTCTCATTTCCAGTCCTCGCGAACTCCTGCTCTGTACATTTTGTGTGTTTCTCTTATTGCTTCATACATTTGCTATATTTGACTGTAAGTGCCCTGCGAAGTGGACATTACCGGATATTCCGCCATGATTC